TTTCAGAAGCTTTTTTATTATATTTTGCTAAAATAACAGAGTGAAATTCACAAAAAATGAGTAACTAAATCTAATCAGAGACAAAATGAAGTAATTGCAGCCTGTTTTTTTTTTAAGGGCAGGAGAACAGACAGACACAATCCACAGATTTCTGACCTTTTCCCCGGCTGCAGCTTGGCCTGGAGACAGTCCCGGGTCTCCCTTTGAACCCTGGAGTCAAAACAGGGTCACAAAGTCAGTAAGATGTAAACAACTGTGGGAACAAGTCAAAGACAAGAGGAACACTGCTGACCTTTACACTACCATATCTGCAGACCATCAATACTGTGTTTCAGCAGCTGCATGGCACAAACGCTTTGAACTCTCCAGCTGAGGTRAAATCTGCTCTTTTATCCCTGCACTGTCATCAAAACTAAAGAAAATCACTGAAAAGCTTCGAGATTCAGACAATTTCAGTTTAAGCTTCACGCCTTTCTGTTYGGACTCATTTAACACATCAATCATAATAGGTGTCCATGTTTACTCCATGACGTTTTTAGGTTTCCCACAACTTTGGGGATGTGCTCGGAAACCAAACTCCACATCTCATTTTCAAACGCGCAGGGTGGAACATGCACTTATCTTCTGCGCCTGCAGCACGACGTGCTTCATGTGCCACTGATTGACTGGTCCGCACACAGCCCTTCTGTGGTAGTCAACAAGATGTTGGCGTAACCACAAACATCTGGATGAGGCTAACCACTTCCTCGCTGAGTTGTGCCAACGAGTCTGGCAGCAGAGTCAGCAGAGATGCTTCCTTACGCGTTTATTTATTTATTTATTTATTTATTTATTTATTTATTTATTTATTTATTTATTTATTTATTTATTTATTCTGTTTAATGAGCGTTGTGGATAAAAAGCTGAGTCATGTTATGCACCGCGGCAAAAAGGTGAAACCACGTTTGTGTCCTTCCTGCCACACTGTGACATYATGTCGACTCATCACTCTGATCCTTCCCCACGTCCAGCTTTGTTTAGCTTGATTCTACTTTATATTATGGAAAAGTGTATTGATCATTATGACCCCTGCACGCGAAGCATTTGCRCCTATCAACATAAAATTTGGCAGGAAAGTAGATGTGTCCAGTTTACACTGCGCCAGCAAACAGTTTTACGATAAACCCCATATTTAAGGAGGGGTTTCCATCTAAGAAGGGGGCGTCTGGACATACAAAAATGCTTCTTACTCAAAAGCTATTCAATATAGGAGCTTCAGATTTTTGTTGTTGTTTTAGCTCTGCTGAAGGGCTATCCATGGGGCCCACCAATGAAGCCCCCCCCACTAGCCTGGACCCCCACCCAAAACAATAAATCTGTTCTGGTGAGTTCTGAGTTCTGGTGCATTGCATATGTGCGGGGGTCTACATTACCACTATCTAGTTTCAGTCRTCATAATTTTATGACATTTGTGTTTTAACAAAGCATGAATCTACATTTTTATTAATGTGAATGAGATAACTCTCAAAATAAGTAAAATCCCATCACCATCATCTGTAAACTGATTGCATAAGAAAGCCTGGAAATAAAGCCTCTCACAAAGTCATGAAAGCATAAATAATCAGGCTAGAGCAGGAGTTCTTAACCTTTTTGACCTCGGGGCTCAATTTGTTGAACATAAAGTGGCACGAGGCCCAGTCGGACATTACCATTGTACGGATCAAAATTAGGGCTGCAACTAACAATTATTTTAATAATCGATTAATCTGTTGATTATTTTTTCGATTAATTAATCGGCCAAATCATTAAAACGCTTAATTACATGAATATAGTAGATATAAATTAAGTTAACTCCTTAAGGATGCAAG